AGTGAGAGGTCACACCTCGGAGTAGATGGTTCAGTGACAGTGAGAGGTCGTACCTCGGAGTAGATGGGTCAGTGACAGTGAGAGGTCACACCTCGGAGTAGATGGTTCAGTGACAGTGAGAGGTCACACCTCGGAGTAGATGGTTCAGTGACAGTAAGAGGTCGTACCTCGGAGTAGATGGTTCAGTGACAGTGAGAGGTCACACCTCGGAGTAGATGGGTCAGTGACAGTGAGAGGTCGTACCTCGGAATAGATGGGTCAGTGACAGTGCGAGGTTGTACATTGGAGTAGCGGACGAGGCTGACTATGCAGTGTTCCTTTGTGACTGACAGAAGTTTAGTAACTGAGATACAGGTGTCATGGTTTCAGTGGTTCAGTGACAGTGAGAGGTCGTACCTCGGAGTAGACAGACATGCTGACTATGCAGTGTTCCTTTGTGACTGACAGAGGTTTAGAGACTGAGATACATGTGTCATGGTTTCAGTGGTTCAGTGACAGTGAGAGGTCGTACCTCGGAGTAGACAGACGAGGCTGACTATGCAGTGTTCCTTTGTGACTGACAGAAGTTTAGTAACTGAGATACATGTGTCATGGTTTCAGTGGTTCAGTGACAGTGAGAGATCGTACCTCGGAGTAGACGGACGAGGCTGACTATGCAGTGTTCCTTTGTGACTGACAGAAGTTTAGTAACTGAGATACATGTGTCATGGTTTCAGTGGTTCAGTGACAGTGAAAGGTTGTACCTCGGAGTAGACAGACGAGGCTGACTATGCAGTGTTCCTTTGTGACTGACAGAGGTTTAGTGACTGAGAGACATGTGTCATGGTTTCAGTGGTTCAGTGACAGAGAAAGGTTGTACCTCGGAGTAGACTGACGAGGCTGACTATGCAGTGTTCCTTTGTGACTGACAGAGGTTTAGTGACTGAGAGACATGTGTCATAGTGACAGTGGTTTAGTGACAGTGAGAGGTCGTACCTCGGAGTAGATGGACGAGGCTGACTATGCAGTGTTCCTTTTTACGACTGACAGACGTTTAGTGACTGAGAGACATGTGTCATGGTTTCAGTGGTTCAGTGACAGTGCGAGGTTGTACATTGGAGTAGACGGACGAGGCTGACTTTGCGGTGTTCCTTTGTGATTGAGGTTTAGTGACTGAGAGACATGTGTCATGGTTTCAGTGGTTCAGTGACAGTGCGAGGTTGTACTTTGGAGTAGACAGACGAGGCTGACTATGCGGTGTTCCTGTGTACCTCAGAGTAGATGGGTCAGTGACAGTGAGAGGTCGTACCTCGGAGTAGATGGGTCAGTGACAGTGAGAGGTCACACCTCGGAGTAGATGGGTCAGTGACAGTGAGAGGTCGTACCTCGGAGTAGATGGGTCAGTGACAGTGCGAGGTTGTACATTGGAGTAGATGGTTCAGTGACAGTGAGAGGTCACACCTCGGAGTAGTGAAAGTGGTTTAGTGACAGTGAGAGGTCGTACCTCGGAGTAGATGGGTCAGTGACAGTGCGAGGTTGTACATTGGAGTAGATGGTTCAGTGACAGTGAGAGGTCACACCTCGGAGTAGTGAAAGTGGTTTAGTGACAGTGAGAGGTCGTACCTCGGAGTAGACGGACGAGGCTGACTATGCGGTGTTCCTGTGTGACTGACAGAGGTTTAGTGACTGAGAGACATGTGTCATGGTTTCAGTGGTTCAGTGACAGTGCGAGGTTGTACTTTGGAGTAGACAGACGAGGCTGACGATGTGCGGTGTTCCTGTGTGACTGACAGAGGTTTAGTGACTGAGAGACATGTGTCATAGTGACAGTGGTTTAGTGACAGTGAGAGGTCGTACCTCAGAGTAGTGAAAGTGGTTTAGTGACAGTGAGAGGTCGTACCTCGGAGTAGACGGACGAGGCTGACTATGCGGTGTTCCTGTGTGACTGACAGAGGTTTAGTGACTGAGAGACATGTGTCATGGTTTCAGTGGTTCAGTGACAGTGCGAGGTTGTACTTTGGAGTAGACAGACGAGGCTGACGATGTGCGGTGTTCCTGTGTGACTGACAGAGGTTTAGTGACTGAGAGACATGTGTCATAGTGACAGTGGTTTAGTGACAGTGAGAGGTCGTACCTCAGAGTAGTGAAAGTGGTTTAGTGACAGTGAGAGGTCGTACCTCGGAGTAGACGGACGAGGCTGACTATGCGGTGTTCCTGTGTGACTGACAGAGGTTTAGTGACTGAGAGACATGTGTCATGGTTTCAGTGGTTCAGTGACAGTGCGAGGTTGTACTTTGGAGTAGACAGACGAGGCTGACGATGTGCGGTGTTCCTGTGTGACTGACAGAGGTTTAGTGACTGAGAGACATGTGTCATAGTGACAGTGGTTAAGTGACAGTAAGAGGTCATACCTCGGAGTAGATGGACGAGGCTGACTATTCGGTGTTCCTGTGTGACTTGCGCCACCTTCTGTTGTATGTACCACTCCAGATAGTTCTCAAGGGTCAACTTAAACAGGATACGGCTTGTCATCATGACATGGTGGAACCAGTCTGGTATACTGTACACATACCGTGCTGAAACATTCATATCAAACTTCATATATATATATATCAGTGACTCAAGTGAAGGCAAAAGGGGACTTTGAAAAGGACCACTTAAATATGCCCGGAATGGGTGGTTACCAACATTGATATTTTATGTCTGAATATTAACAAAGACAATAAAGAGCTAACTATTAAAGTAAAATGAAGAGGTATTGATTATTCACTTCAGTTATCCATATTGCAATGTTTGTGTGTAAAAATATAAACGTCAACATAAAATTAATCTACTCTGCAATGTTCGCAAAAGATTCACCAGAAGTCGAAGCCACTTTTCTTTAAGCTTCGTTATTACATAATACGAGAACTTTCTCATCAAAATGCATAAACATTGTTGTGCAGTCGGAAAAGATCACTTACCAAGGTAGATAAGAGCATCAAACACACCCTCAACATCCTGTCTGTCCTTCGACTCCTGCTGGCCAGTAGCTGCGGAGAAGTCCAGTTCCAGACTGGACGTTTGACTAGACGCAATGCTATCGGATGAGTAGTTAGCATTGTTCTCGTACAGACTACAGCAGAGTTTCTCACTTGACGTGGACTTGAGAGAGACATCAGATCCTCGCCGCTCCAGTTTACTGTCAGCATAAAGAGGTGGTGTGAGCAGACTACTGAAAGCCTCATAAACTAGCCATAATCTTTGGGTTTGTGTGCAATAGAGAGAAAGGACCATATTACATGCTATTCTCTGAATGAAGCATTGTGAATTTATTTTCCCTTATTGGAGGTAGGTTTATCTATTTTCAAAATATACATTCCTCTTTTGTTCTGTCTTTGAAATTCAAGGTTTCCACTCTAGAGACACATATCTTTATGAACATTTTCTTGTTACACAACCAATAAGTGTTTCTTTGTGACGTTTCGATGACTAGTGTGGTATGTACTCTTCCTCAGACAAATGACCAGAGAAGCGTATGCACACAAAGCTGTAAAATGTGTACGAGTTGTCCACAAATCGATGGTAAAGCGACTACGCTGTAAAAAAGACCCATATCTTTTCTAAAACCTTTACCTATTTACCCCTAAAGTCACATTTGAATCTTACCAAATCAAAGACTGGGTAGGTCTAGTTTAAACATGTAGGGGTGAATGAGTTAAAACATGTCATGATAAAATAGATGGCATTTTCAAATAATAACCGAATGCTAGAACGATATATGTTCTTTGAAGATTACAAATGAGCTACACTCAACTTCAAAACTTGTCAGTTTTTAACATTAGGCTGCTGCACAATTCCTATAGTCTATCAAACTTCTAGTATATATACAAGGTGGTGCACCTAAAGCCTTAGATGTTGGCATGGAATATTACAAGGGTGTGTAACAAGAGCAGAACGTTTGGATTCTGAAGATGCCTTTCTTCTTACAAAAATAATAAAAGATTTTATAATATGTCATTTGTTAAAGATTTACCTTGATTTAGGCTTAGGGACTTCGGTTGACTGTACAAATGACCACAGGAAGGGGTCCAAATGTTGTCCTTTCTGAAAAATAAAATACAAGAAGAATTGTAACATTTCATTATCTTAAAACTGCACATCAGGTACATTAACTAGGCAATACTGCTACTGAAGAAATGAAAGAGAAGACTTTGAGGAGGAAAAAGGAATTAAGGTGGCTCGACACATCGTCATCAGCGTCCATTTTCGTGACGTACTTCCGGAAAAAGTACAGCTCGGACTCAATTATCTTGATCGAAATGTGCATGTACACCGTGTCGTCATTTCCGTTTTGCGTATCGGGTATTCAATATCGTAGGGCAAATTATAGTAACACCTGGGCCGTTTGCGTTTAAACGGTCAAACCGATCGGACCACTGTTGTTCGTTTAAGGTTAAGGTAAGACCTAGTTATCTGATGCTGCTTTCAGGCGAGCCTTGAGAAAGCCTTGCAAGTCTTGCATACACATTTGTAGGTCCGCCAGGATTTATACCCGGAATTGTTACATTTATAAACGGTCAAACCGGTTGTTCCGCATAAACGAACAGGCCCCTGGTAAACAATAGTACACGTGCGTGCCGATGATATGTCAACACCCGATATCGAGATTTTACCGGGAAATGTATAATCACACGTACTTCAGGAATAAAGCTTTCCAATTCATTGACATAAACAGACTCACGGGAAGACAGTGACATGAGACCAGACGACCTCAAGAAGGTCATATAGGAAACACATGGAATGCGGACGTACCAACCTCATATGTGCATATCACGTGCTTACACGAGTTCATAAGCTGAGGGAGTTTCGCTCTGTCGATTAAATCGTGTTTACAAATGTAGTCTACTTACTCTGTGAAAATAATGTTTTGTAAAATATCAAGATACCTATGAAATGCATGTGTGAGGGCACGTGAGAACGGCATACCATGCGATAGCCTCTGGTCACATATGTACCTGACATGTAATTATAAATATACCGTGAGTTAGCGGACTGTGGAATGATGTCCAAAGTGTACATGACTGAGGGTAATTTGGTTCCATTAAAGAACAATAAATTGATAATTTTGATATCATATTTTTGATTTATTTCCATCATTTGTTATATGTAAACAGAGACAACTGTCATTGTGTAAATGTCATCCCTCTGCAAAAAGTTCCGATTTTTTTCAAGGAAGATAACTCTCACCCGGATCAAAGTGATTGTAAAATGTAAAATAAATTAATTATAAAGCCATTGTGTATATTTTGTTCAATTTCCCACTCTATATGTATAGATCTGTGTGTCCTGTTTGCTTTTAGCTTGTAGATAATCACTTTTATCCGTTCAAATTCAATAAAAAACACTTTGTGTAACATGTGTTACATATTTTGCGATAAATAAAATATTTGTAGGATTAATTATAAATGCTTCTTTTCATTTTTTTTATTGTTTTTATTGTTCCGAACAATGCCAAACACAAAAAAAACGGAAAATATTAAAAGTGGCGAAAATTCAATTTTTTGGTATTTTTTTCCAAAAAATTCCCCAAACTATCGGAATGTTTAGATTTTCATAAAATTAACTCTACATAGTTGCATAACCATTATATGAAAGTTTCAACGAATTTTGCTGGTTAATTGCGAAAGTGTGGAGCCACCTTAAGTAGACCTCAGATTTTTTGCAATGCAATAACTTTGTACTACAAGGTATCATTTTTACCTATTTATTTAAGTAAAAACGCATTAAGCTCGTTTGTAAATATAAAAAGACAATTCCTACATAATAATTTTTGTTTAAATCTGTATAAATCACCCTCCAGACCTATCTATAGGGTGGTTTACATCTACAGTGCTGTAATCCAGTCAACTTTTAAAGCATGCATTAACAGAGGAACGCCTCACATTCCCCCAGGCCACGAGCAGTACAGTCCATGTAACAGCACTACTGATTGCTTCAACACTTATGGATCTCAACAAGATATTGAAAGATTTGTAAAGAGCGCTAGTCACACCTGAGTTTCAAGTCTGGGTAATAGTCGCAAATACTTATTTTGTCCATCCATTTAATTTAGTTGGTGTAAAATTGATGAAATATAGCTTCGAAAAAAGGAATTGGAATACATGTATTCAACTTGTAAAATAAACTTTACAACTCTGTTGCTTTATCATGTCTTTAAAAGTCCTTCAGTATATAATGACAAAAGATATAAAGACCTTCAGTATATAATGACAAAAGATATAAAGACCGATACCCTCCCATAGCGTCTGCTTACCTCTTTAACAAGCTTCATGGCTCCAGCCTTGAACATTTTCCCTAAAATTAATAAGAAACAGAAAAAGTTTATTATCACATCAAATAGCAACAAATGGTGAGGCTGTGACAGCTGTTATACTATACAACAGTTCTTATTGTCACCCAATGCTCTATTTGAATAGTAATGAATGATCTTTAACTATTCTTTGGATTCTTTCCACATTAGAGGAGGAGGGGGGAAGGAGTAAACTGTTTTATGCGGATTACATATGCATGCTATATTTTACCCAATTTTTCGGATTTTTGGGACCTAGATCAGTACACTAAAAGTGACTTTCTTGAATTAAAGTTGTGCTTACCAATTTTTTACAGCAATTCAATAAAAAATATGATTCATTTGAAAACCTTGAAATTTCTTCTTTTTTTCCCCATTCAATATTTGTGCTACTGGGAAAGACCTGAAGAACAGCTGTGCTAGACATTCAGACTCGATTTACAATAAACCCTAGATTGATGATGGTTATAAATCCTGTGGTAAACTCACCTATATTGATGTTGGGGAGGAATCCCGTGGTAAACTCACCTAGATTGATGATGGTTATGAATCCCCTGGTAAACTCACCTAGATTGATGTTGGTGGGAATACCATGATAAACTCACCTAGATTGATGTTGGGGAGGAATACCATGATAAACTCACCTAGATTGATGTTGGTGGGAATACCATGAGAAACTCACCTAGATTGATGTTGGTGGGAATACCATGGTAAACTCTCCTAGATTGAAGTCGGGTAGGAATACCATGGTAAACTCACCTAGATTGATGTAGGGTAGGAATCCTGTGATACAACTCAACTAGATTGATTAAGGGTAGGAATCCTGTGGGAAACTTACCTAGATTGATGTCGGGTAGGAATACCACGGTAAACTCACCTAGATTGATGTCGGGTAGGAATACCATGGTAAACTCACCTAGATTGATGTCGGGTAGGAATACCATGGTAAACTCACCTAGATTGATGTAGGGTAGGAATCCTGTGATAAAACTCAACTAGATTGATTAAGGGTAGGAATCCTGTGGTAAACTTACCTAGATTGATGTCGGGGAGGAATACCATGGTAAACTCACCTAGATTGATGGCGGGTAGGAATACCATGGTAAACTAACCTAGATTGATGTCGGGTAGGAATGCCGTGGTAAACTCACCTAGATTGATGTCGTGTAGGAATACCATGGTAAACTCACCTAGATTGATGGCGGGTAGGAATACCATGGTAAACTTACCTAGATTGATGTCGGGGAGGAATCCCGTAGTAAACTCACCTAGATTGATGTCGTGTAGGAATACCATGGTAAACTCAGCTAGATTGATGTAGGGTAGGAATCCTGTGGTAAACTAACCTAGATTGATGTCGGGTAGGAATGCCGTGGTAAACTCACCTAGATTGATGTAGGGTAGTAATCCTGTGATAAAACTCAACTATATTGATTAAGGGTAGGAATCCTGTGGGAAACTTACCTAGATTGATGTCGGGTAGGAATACGATGGGAAACTCACCTAGATTGATGTAGGGTAGTAATCCTGTGATAAAACTCAACTAGGTTGATTAAGGGTAGGAATCCTGTGGTAAACTAACCTAGATTGATGTCGGGTAGGAATCCTGTGGTAAACTCACCTAGATTGATGTCGGGTAGGAATCCTGTGGTAAACTCGTGGTCCGTTGTGAGGAAGGTGTACAGTAGCTGACTGCCCTTCAGGAATGGCTTGGTCAATAATTTCTGTAACAACCAAGTGTTGTTTAGGCACTATGATTTATAAAAACCGATTCTAACACGTCCACATTATAAGGAACTTACTGTCTATTGTGTCATGTACTCACTTTGTGGTAATTACCGGGAAAGGACGATCAATTGAATTAGACAGGAAGTGGGTAATGGAAATCAATTAAAAATAGAAACAAAGAGGGCAAGGTCTAACAATTATATTCCTTATAAGGTATGAATCTAACTGGTTCTGAAAATAAATACAGTAATTTGGCTTCTTTGATAGCAAATGTGAATTGAGAAACTGTAGCTTCTTTAAGAGTTCATGTACCATGATTATATATAAAATTCACCTAAACATTATACCTAATTAAGTCCCTTGTACACATTTTTTAACAGCTCTCACATTACTTTTCTATTGAGTGTAACCTACCTGGAGATAAATTTCAAACGTGTCTCTCTTGTTCTCTATGAAGTCTTGTTTGCCTGTTCCAAATGATCTTTTGGCAGGAAGAGGGCAGTCTGCCAACAGTTCACCTGTTTATAGTGTACATTACAGTGTTAATTTCTCTACCATAGTTGGTGGTATTCCTGTTACATTACAATGTAAAGGATCACAGAAATATCCCTGTGTGTATACAGTAACACACTTATACTATAAACACACTTGTAGGATCTTGTTGACGTCATATTTATGTTTGCTGATTACGAAACATCTAACTCAACATCAAGTTTTTTTTTCTGGAGCCAGCTAACTACTGTAGTTTCTCAGTCCCCCTGGAATTCGGTATAAACCCATAGCTATTATACTGTATAGCCAAAATATGTCCCCTGAACAAAATATATCCATGTCGATATGACAGATCACTCTTGATTCTACAGGTAGTAACTAAAACAAGAGGCCCATGGGCCTTAACAGTGAGTCCTACAGTATTTATTTTTGTTGTTGAAATATGTACCAATTTGAGTAAAAAATTGATAAGTATAACGTTAACTAAAGTTTGTCAGGACCATGAGCTGATCATTCGTAGACCGATTTTCAGTTAGATCGGCCTACTAGAACTTTAAAATAGGTATTTTCAAAATAGCGGCCATGGCAGCCAAATTGTGTTTCTGATCGACCTGAAAAATAACAAAAGTTTGTCAGGACCATGAGTCGATCATTACTACAAAGTTTCAGTTCAATCGGCCTAGCAGAACTTGACTTTATGTATGAAATAGTTTTTCAAAATGGCGGCTGTGGCGGCCATATTGGATTTCTGATCGACCCGAAAAATAACAACACTTTGTCAGGACCATGAGTCGATCATTCCTACAAAGTTTCAGTTCAATTGGCCTACCAGAACTTGACTAGTTCTTCAAAATAGTTTTTCAAAATGGCGGCCGTGGCAGCCATATTGGATTTCTGATTGACCCGAAAATTAACAACACTTTGTAAGGATCATAAGTCGATCATTCCTACCAAGTTTCAGTTCAATCGACCCAGCAGAACTTGACTTTAAGTTTGAAATAGTTTTTCAAAATGGCGGCCGTGGCGGCCATATTGGATTTCTGATCGACCCGAAAAATAACAACACTTGGTCAGGGAGATGTCAGTAACCTTCCCATGAAATATTAATGAAATCCCTTGGCCAGTATTTCAGCTGAAGTTGAAAATGTAAAATGTTAACGGACGACGGACGACACTGGACGAAGACGGATAGCAATGGGTCACTTGAGCTAAAGCTCAGGTGACTTAAAAAAACAGTAATTTTACAAATGTAGATATACCTGCACTTGTAATTTCAAAATAATTATACATGCATGATAGGAAGCTTCAGCAAGGTACATCGTTCCCAACCCAAAATTGGTCAAGCTACCTTTCCCTAGAGTTGTTACTTCCTAATGTCTCTAAATGAAAGCAGGACGTAAACACATTACAGATTAGTCACTTTTTTCTTCTTACCATGGAATTCCAGTAATTTACTTTCCAGTACGTAAAATTCCGGATACCTCCTGGAATTAAAAACAAAACATCATTAATCATTTTGTTGTGGTTTAGAAGCTTAGTTTTAACCCAGTTTTATTTAGTAATTTTAATGTATTTTATTGTAATAAGTTCATATAGCATGAAACGACAATGATAATCATAGAAACTTACAGTGAAGAAAATACTAAGGAGGACATAACCACTTAATTGTTTACGGTAAGATATATCAAGTAGGCGTTACAAAACATTCTAACATTTAAAAACATCTTACCTAGCCACAACCCAGCTTTCTTTTGCTGGAACACCTGTAGGGAGTAGAGGTGGAAGCTGATGACAGATATATCAGGTAAGTCAAGCTCTGAGTAAATATTCTACAAATTATCTTCTTTCTAATACAACTAATCAATCACAGGAATGATAATTCAATGATTTAGATCTTCAGATCCTTTTCATAACTTAGACCGCTTCTATCACACAATTACAGTCTATTTATGATGAAAGGATATGACTGATTATTTACACAACTAGTAATATGCAGTGAATACACCATATCATAACTTGTGCATCATCATGTTTCACTCTATTATAATCTGTAACCAATGACGACGGCTGCTGTTCCTACCTCTGGTTCCCATGTTATGTGCAAGATCTACTCTCCGTACATCAATGATGAACACAAAATATTGTTTTTTGTTGTTCTCGGGATCTGGTCTGGCCCCTATCCTGGGGATGGTTACCCTCCATGTACTCAGGTCAGGCAATGTGAACTCCTGGAAGGAACCCTCCATAGCCATGCATTCTGGGATCTCGTCGTCAAGGGAACTGCAAGACTGCTCAGGAAAATAAACAAGGCTCGTATTAACAATCACCAAGTCGCCAAATGGCAACACTTTTTCAGATTTGGCGACAAAAAATTCAGTTTGGCGATAATTTTTGGCTACAGAATTCTTATCTACTCTAAAATGATTAAATTCGGTAATCTGTGGTCATGACTGCTGATTCTTCCAACGAATGTTTTCATAACCTGTGTTTAATCAATGCTGGTGGTATGTCTATTTCAGACAGGTGGTCACATTACAGAAGGTCTCTCCTGACAGGTGGTCTCTTTAGGCAGGTAGTCACTAACAAGTGTCTTCAGACAGTTGGTCTCTTAAGTCACAATTTCGAGAAATGTTTTAAAAGCATTTTTTTGTTTGTTAAGTTTTAAAACAGCTGTAAGCAATGTTTTGGAAAAAACAGAAATGTCTCAATATTCTGCAAGATCTTTGACAAAGAAATGTATGTAGATTCGACATAAAATTCTTTTATCTGAAGTTTACATCTGATCTCCCATTACTTACAGCAATAGTGACCGTGTCTGCATCCTCAAAGTTATCCATCTCCGGGAGACTTCTCATCTCCGCCGCTGTCAAATCAACATTAACAGTCACAGTAATCAATATCAGATTTTATATCTCTGGACAAAAATTCAAATACTGAAATGAACAAAGGGCAATAACTTTTGCAAAAATCGTCAAATCAAAATTCTTTTAAGAAAGACACAACTTCATATCATGATTATAATGTATACCAAGTTTCAAAGAGATCTGTAGAAAAATGTAGGAGAAGATTGCCCGACAAAAATCAAATACTGAAATAAACAAAGGGCAATAACTTTTGGAAAAGTTGTTGAATCAAAATTCTTTAAGGGAGACACAACTTCATATCATGATTATAATGTATACCAAGTTTCAAAGAGATTGGTCGAAAAATGTAGGAGGAGATTGCCGGACAAACAAAAGTTTACACCGGACGGATGGACGGACAACCAGATACCATAATACTTCCGTCAAATTTGACGGGCATTTTTTAAATAAAAAGTAGGGCGATATTGGGTGAAGTACTTTGTATAATATGTATACTTACTACTTTTAAAAACTCCCTTGATCTTGTGCCCGATATTTGACAATCCAAACTCCTTTTTCTTTGGCATTCTACAAAACATTTAACCTTGGTTAGTGTACCTGTTTATGTGTCATTAATAAATGTACCAAATTTATATTACCATTCATAATAAAATATTTTATGGGATTTCTTAATGTTTCCCCCAGCTAATCTATGCTGTCTCCAATCAAATTTCCCCTGTTATTACAATAAACATGAGATGAGTAAGCCAAACTACACTTGTGTTTATCTAACAGTAGAAAGCAAAGTTTTCCTGCATCCAAATAGAACTATGAATGTGTACAGCCCTCATGCTGAGGTGTATGTCTGCACAATAAATAAATGTTATCTGCAAGATCAGATAAATACATCTGTGGTATGTATCATATTATCTGCAGTACATTTGCATTCATGATTATCCTGTATCAATATCAAACTTTCCTTCCAATAAACTTGAACTTAACAACAAATGGGTTGGAATGACATCACATTACTACAGCTCAAAATTGCATTAAGATATTCGGAACCCACTCTTGTGTTAATTAGATAAGTGAGTAATTAACCAATGGATGATTCGTAACAGCTGAGACGATTGTTGAGGTATGATAAGGCTATTAGAGTGTAAAGACATCATAAAGAACCATTTTTGCATTAGAATGCAGACAAAATGTATGACACTGTACACATGAAAAATGATTTCGATGACAAACAAAATTCTAAGAGAACACCAAAAATGGTTCTCCTTGTTATTAAACTGAGTGCAGGAATAAATTTGTTAGGGTTCATGATAACTTATTAATAATCTAAGCAAGCATAGAATTTAACATGCTTTAGTATAGTTTCAATGATTTTACAGCAATGTAAACCTGCCACCAGAAAACGTACATGTAACTAATGAGCTCCTGTATAACGAAGCCCAGCCTACCAAGTGACAGGTACACAGCCTACCAAGTAACAGGTACACAGCCTACCAAGTAATATGTGAACAGCCTACCAAGTAACAGGTACACAGTCTACCAAGTAACAGGTACACAGCCTACCAAGTAACAGGTGAACAGCCTACCAAGTAACAGGTACACAGCCTACAAAGTAACAGGTACACAGCCTACCAAGGAACAGGTACACAGCCTACCAAGTAACAGGTACACAGCCTACCAAGTAACAGGTACACAGCCTACCAAATGCAAGTAACAGGTACATAGCCTAGCAAAAAGCAAGCACATGCCTGTAAGATAATGCTACCCATATTAGTTTATATTAATATCATAGCCATTTCACTCATTTACTGAAGGAGGGCTTTTATTCATATTTACTGAAGGTCAGTTAATTGGAAAAGTGTTTTTTCTTTTAAATATCTTATAAATTAATTATCAAATCAATTTAAAAAAAAAGGTCCTAGTAAAGGTGTGTCTTAAAACCACACAAGAACTTACCTGATAAAATACTCAGATTTTGAAATATGTAACTAGAAATCACCTTTGAAAATAGTGTATTTCTTACTCATTACTTGGTTAGTAAATAATAAACACTAGAAAATGTCTTTAAGACATGAATGCCCTGCTCCCATGCAAGTTAGTGTCATTGTTTGACAATTTTGTGTTCACCATTGGATGCAAACTCATTTGAGGTATTCTCATACATGACTTTTGTATAAAGTTAGATATAATTTGGTTAAGAAAAAGGAGTTGCTAGCATATCACTGAACTGAAGTTAAGGTTTAGAAATAGTAATGATGACCTTAGCCTTAACCTTTGAACCCTGAAATACAAACCCATTTAAGGTATAAAATTTAATCATATGATGTCGCTGAATTGGTTCCAAATTTCTTTAAATAGAAACAATAACCTCAGCTTGGACATGGGAACCCTGAAATATGGTCTCATTTGAGGTATTCTGGTAATTTACCTTTGTATAATATTTTATCAAACTTTGTTAATAAATAAAGTCGCTAGAGAGATGTCACTGAATTGGGATGGAACAGAATGGGACAAAAATGGGTAACACTATAAATGGCAGGGGCTTAAACATCATATAAATGCTAGAGGAGTGGGTCGATACATCATTCAAAATTGTATGATTTCTTTTGGAATAGGAGAAGAAAAAATGCACAGCCAGACCAGGATTCGAACCCAGAACCTCCAAGCTGTAGGCAGAAGCTCTAACCAATAAAGCTACTTGGTCAATGGTGCTCGACCCAGTCCAGTTCCACTACATTGCACAACTATAAGCTCAAGATATTGTAATGAACCATCATCTAGCTTGCATTTGTTAACGGCACACACCCAGGGATAAAGCTGTAACTACAGGGCCATCCATCTCAGTTAATTTCCAGGACCAAACACTACTAGTCTGGGGTGTTACAAACAAAGAAAAAGAAAACTGTTTTAAAGAATGTAGAAATGAATGTGGATGTTTTCAAGCCATGCAATGATTAGCTTAACGGAGCTCAAAATATAGCAAACTAGTTGAGCTGGGACAATGCCATGCCATACAGGTCAATGATGTACAGTCAGGGACTTTAAATTTGGATCAAGCTAAATTTTCTCATATTTAATACATGTTTTTTTCATAAACAAACTTTAATCACTTTAATGATATCATTAGACTGTTGATTCAGAATTAAAACAGATCGTTTATAAATCACAGTATTATTGCCCAAATATTTACCTAATAACCTTCTTTTAAATTATTTAAAGAGAAAACTTCTATTAAAGGTACAGTGCTTTCTCCTATGGTGGTGTTGACTGAGATGTTTTTGAATGATATGGATGATAACCCCCTCCCCCTGCTGTACATTTCTGTCAACTGGTCATTATCAATAGGGCATTCAGTAAAATCATGTTCTTACACATTTCTGTATTATCAAAATATTATGGAATACATATAGGTAAACTGCTGAAAAATGGCTGGAATTCTTTTCACAAACATGATTTTGAAAATACTGTACCCATTTTTATGACCAGTTGTTGACACCTTACTGACATACATACTGAATGTACAGTGAAACCGTGTTGATACTCAGAATGGAAAAATGTTGTATCCTCTAGATCTCTTTAACATCTCCCATTACAATACCACAAATCCTTTTTAAATGATGACCTTATACATCCGCCATTTATCTTACTCAATGGAAACCTTTAAAAATCCTGCAGGTCTTTTTGCTGTCAGATGACAACCATTCTGAGATAACAGGGTTTCTCTGTATACTGTTTTACAATACTGAGCTAATGGCTTGGACCACATGGTTATACATGGTTAACAGGCAGCACAGAAATACCTAGAATTATTGGGCTGTCGTGGGGCTAACTGATTGCTGTGGAGAAAAGTCACAAAGTGATGGCATATATCATCATACATGAAAACAATGTTTATACATATATTTTGTTGTTATTTATTCATTAGAATATTCGTACTGTTTACACGCTATCTCTTCAGCAGGTGAAAGTTGAAACAGAAGAACATCTAATGAAACATCTTTTTATCAACAATTAAAGTTTTTACACCTCTTTCGTTATAATTTATTATGCTTTTAGTCATAAAGTTTTAAACCTCTTTTATAACAATAATTGTGCTTCCAAATTGATCCATTATGATTATTTACCTGGTACAAAATTTTGTCCAAAAAAATGTGGGAAAATATTACCTTTTATATTTTCAAACAAGGCAGAGATATATAATCTGCATGGCTAAGTTGGAAATCTCTGATATAATACACATGAGCTGTCTATTGTAAATAGGATAACTGCTGATAAAAGCATGTTTACTGAGAGTAACTATCAAACTACACCAACACAGCTTGGTTGTCAACACAAGGTACATCACCAGTAGTAACTAACCAATAACAGTTACAAAGTCAGGATTTCAATTTACAGTAAAGTAACTTCAAACAGGCTAATAAGAAATTCTTACTGATTATAATTCAGTACAAAACGTAACATCATTGTGAAAGAATAGTTAAGACCACTGCACTAACTAATACAAAAGTTTAATCCAGAGTAGAACATTCTTAATCCAGAGCAGAACATGTTAATGAAAGAGTCCAGGTATTTGTTATTTTCCTGAGATAAAAAGTTAAATGGTATTAAGGAATGACTTCAAACATATTACACATTTAATGTTCTGATGATGGTTGTAGAAGTGAGCAATATTTCCCATGAGAGTTTAGTTTGGAGAATGTTAGACTGTTAGACTTACCTTGGAGTGTTTCTTGATGTCTGAGACATGACACGGCTACCACACAACATTTCATAATACTGTAATAACAAGGTCACATCAAGGTTATTATAATACTACGACAACAAATGTTCAGTTACCAGTCTATTATGCTAATTAAGGACATCATTGGTCAATACCCTCTAAAAGTATGGCAATACCGGCACATTCCCCTCTTTTATGAAACTTTCCTACAAATTTTAACAACAATAAAAAGCAAACATATTTCGACCTATTTTCTTAAACAAGCAAATTCGTGGAATTCATATCCCCCACTTGCAGGATATATTGTAGGTTAACATTATTGAGGTTAGGTTTAAACATGTGAGTATCCTGCTGTTGAGACATAATGTATAGCTTTTAACTTGAAGAAAAACAACAACCTATACCTCATTGATTATCCGTAAATATGCACAAAGCACATCGGTCGGCAAACTTAGCATGAGTCTGATGTGCATACGGAATTTGGTAGACATCTGAACAATATCTACAGCATTTATCAATCGAAAACCAAAGAATGCCCAAGATGGGTGGAAAGACAGAGGAACACAAACATTGTTATCAAGTTTGAAGGAATTTGGCTAGTATTTGCTAGAGTTATAAAGCGGAAACTGCAAATAATGACGTTTTTCATTAATCAAGGGGCCATTACTCTGCCAAATGGAGTCCGATTAAAGTGGTTGTCAAACTTGGTCGAGCCCTTAATGCATTGAACCCTGTTACTAAGTTTAAGGACAATCAGATAGTATTTGCGAGAGTTAATGAACAGAAACGGCAGATAATGACGTTTTTCATTATTCAAGGGGCCATAACTCTGCCAAATGGTGTCCGCTGAAAGTGGTCATCGAACTTGGCCGAGCCCTAAGGCATTTAACTCTGTGACCAAGTTTGAAAAATCGGTTAACATTTGTTGTAGGTATTGCACGGAAACGAAGCTTGGCAGATAAGGACGTTTTTCATTATGCAAGAGGCCTGGCGTACTACCATATTATAGTCTGTGTTTGTACCTGTAATACTACAATGTTACGGCCTGTGTTTGTACCTGTCATACTACCATATTAAAGTCTGTGTTTGTACGTGTCATACTACCATATTATAGTCTGTGTTTGTACCTGTAATACTACGCTGTTACGGCCTGTGTTTGTACCTGTCATACTACCATATTATAGTCTGTATTTGTACCTGTAATACTACAATGTTACGGCCTGTGTTTGAACCTGTCATACTACCATATTATAGTCTGTGTTTCTACCTGTTTGTACCTGTAATACTACACTGTTACGGCCTGTGTTTGTACCTGTGATACTACCATATTATAGTCTGTGTTTGTACCTGTAATCCTACAATGTTACGGCCTGTGTTTGTACCTGTCATACTACCATATTAAAGTCTGTGTTTGTACGTGTCATACTACCATATTATAGTCTGTGTTTGTACCTGTTTGTACCTGTCATACTACCATATTATAGTCTGTGTTTGTACCTGGCATACTACCATATTATAGTCTGTGTTTGTACCTGTTTGTACCTGTCATACTACCATATTATAGTCTGTGTTTGTACCTGTCATACTACCATATTATAGTCTGTGTTTGTACCTGTTTGTACCTGTAATACTACACTGTTACGGCCTGTGTTTGTACCTGTAATACTACAATGTTATGGCCTGTGTTTGTACCTGTCATACTACCATATTATAGTCTGTGTTTGTACCTGTAATACTACACTGTTAAGGCCTGTGTTTGTACCTTTCATACTACCATATTATCGTCTGTGTTTGTACCTGTTTGTACCTGTAATACTACACTGTTAAGGCCTGTGTTTGTCCCTTTCATACTACCATATTATCGTCTGTCTTTGTACCTGTTTGTACCTGTAATACTAAACTGTTACGGCCTGTGTTTGTACCTGTCATACTGCCATATTATAGTCTGTGTTTGTACCTGTTTGTACCTGTAATACTACAATGTTACAGCCTGTTTTAGTACCTGTAGTATTTCGATACAACAAGTTATAAGTACATATGTATTACATAAGTGACAGCCTGTATCAGTAATTACCTCCTCACTCTGGTGAAACAGGGGAATAAAGGTTTGCTCCAGGAGGTTGTAGGCGTGCTCATAAGCTCTGAAACACAGTATTATACAATGTTATATGATCACAGCTAAAACTGCTACTTAATACCAGGTATACATGTGGATAAAAGTTTATGGCTCTAAAGAGTACTATAATATTTTATATACCTTTACCATTTTTCCCCCAAGGAAAAGGAACCAGCTATTTTAGATTGTGACAACAGTGTATTAAAGTTGTGTATATATAGCAGCAGATTTACTGCATACCGGGAAACTTTCGCCCCGTAAAACTTTCGCCCTTCATCGACAGAGTCCGTATTTGCCCAGTGTTAAGTTTGCCCTACATCAGTGGAAATTCCCCGTTATGGCCTCTCTGACGAACACTTATCATTCATGTTAATATTTGTAGCTAAATGATGTGTTTTTAAAATAGTAAGTAATTAAAAAATTAAACAAATTGTCAATCCTTTATTATGAAACATAAGGTTGCATTACACACACTGGACCCCAATCACATCATATACAGTCCCTGAGTTAAGCCTCAGTGTAGACGAAATAGTGACAAAACATGTGCCGTTGTATACATATTTTATTTTTAAACTTTCGCCGTCATGTTAAATTCGCCCTCAGATCGGAAGGCGTAAGGGGCGAAAGTTAAACTGCGGCGTAAGTTTCCCGGTATACAGTATCTTTAAACAGAGAAACAGATTTTTTTTATTTTTTTTTTATTTTTTCATAGGCAAATTCACTTTTCAAAACACATTTTAGCAAAAGTAATATTTGTGTCACCCTGGAGTACAACAATTTAGATGTAAATGAGTTCTTACTTAAACAATGGTGTAGAGGTTCTGAGCCGAATAACCTGTTCAGGTGGTCCCTCCAATACTGAAAGTAAAAACAATTATATATCACTCATACAAAACACAATGTTCAACTAATTTTCATATAACTTTGACCTTGGCATTTCATCTTTTTGTGACCTTGACCTTAAGGTGACAAAGTTGTATGCCGTATTCAAATGTATTCCTATGTACAAACTTATATAAAATATAAGTAGTTATAGTCCAGATAATTACTGAAGTAATGCCAACGTCTTTGTGCGACCATGAGGTAGCAGAACATGGGGGTGCTCAGCATACCTTATTGTTATTATAAGCCTTCTTTTCAGGTTTCATCAAGTAATCTTTGGCAGTTTGGAAATTATAGTAAAAGATCCAACCACACAGAAAACAGACAAATGACTGCAGTCCTCTTATCTTCATTGTGGAAGTAGTAATGTCTATTATATCTACTGACAAACTGGTTAATAACTTACTATATCATATCTATTGACAAACTGGTTAATAACTTACTATATTATATCTACTGACAAACTGGTTAATAACTTACTATATTATATCTATTGACAAACTGATTAATAACTTACTGTATTATATCTATCGACAAACTGATTAATAACTTACTATCTTTTAATTCTGAGACAATTTCCTCATCAAATTTGATTTTATCAGGTGCATTTTTGGCACAGTAGCAGCGGTACAAATCTTTAGCATGGTTGTGCAGCTCTACAAGTGCACTCTGGGATAGCTCTGGATTGAGTACTTGTTTATTAAAGTCATCTGAAAAAAGAAATGATACAATGTAAATTATGATACCTCAGGTCGTAAATACTATACAATATTTGATAAATACCTCAGACCATCAACACTATACAATATTTGATAAATACCTCAGACCGTCAATACTATACAATTATGATAAATACCTCAGACCGTCAACACTATACAATTATTATAAATACCTCAGACCGTCAACACTATACAATTATGATAAATACCTCAGACCGTCAATACTATACAATCATGATAAATACCTCAGAACGTCAATACTATACAATTATGATAAATACCTCAGACCGTCAACACTATACAATATTTGATAAATACCTCAGACGGTCAACACTATACAATTATTATAAATACCTCAGACCGTCAACACTATACAATTATGATAAATACCTCAGACCGTCAATACTATAAAATCATGATAAATACCTCAGAACATCAATACTATACAATTATGATAAATACCTCAGACCGTCAACACTACACAATTATGACAAATACCTCAGACCGTCAATACTATAAAATCATGATAAATACCTCAGACCATCAACACTTTACAATATTTGATAAATACCTCAGACCGTCAACACTATACAATATTTGATAAATACCTCAGACGGTCAACACTATACAATTATGATAAATACCTCAGACCGTCAACACTATACAATTATGATAAATACCTCAGACCGTCAACACTATACAATAATGATAAATACCTCAGACCATCAACACTATACAATATTTGATAAATACCTCAGACCGTCAACACTATACAATTATGATAAATACCTCAGACCGTCAACACTATACAATTATGATAAATACCTCAGACCATCAACACTATACAATATTTGATAAATACCTCAGACCATCAATACTATACAATATTTGATAAATACCTCAGACCATCAATACTATACAATATATGATATGAGGCTACAATGAATTACAGTGTTATCCTATTGTTTTACTCTTATCATATATCACTCGTGAACTTCTTTTACATTTATTTATGAAATCACATAAAAACAAAGTTTCTCACACATAGTTTTTTTTTACTTTCTACAGGAAATACGAGAACACAGATGAGGCACTGGATTTGTGTGAGAACTAATGATTCATTAGAATATGGCATGGTGTTGATCATTGATGGACGTTCCTAAGTCAAATGACGTCATTTGAAGGAAAGATTCAGTCAGTATGAGTGACCTTGAATAATTCATCCATGTCAGTGTCTAAAACGTTTTACTATATGATAATTTTTGAGATGATCTAGTGATTATGATACATTCCGTAACACCTACCACATGCCAGACAGAACTGTAGGACGTTGACTGCAGCTTCACGCTTCAGGAACTGCATGAAGGTGTAGAGCAGACTAGGGTTGTTACCACCGATGATATCATTCAGCTCGTGGTGTAGACACTGTCGACATTTATAAAGTTATACATTAGCCTTATCATCACTATAGTCTTAACTACTTCTACTATTTTCAATATAAGGTGATATTGCTTAATCATAGTGGTGGGCTGAGGATCGATTATATTCGAAAATTGATCGGTTTGCCATTAATAACAATATACAGCATTTGATATAGCGCCCTATCTAGCTAACATAAGTCAATCTAAAGCGCTTTACAGTACATAGATATACAATTAATACAATGAGCATATACATAAATCATTACAAATTTTGAAGAATTCGCAGGAGCTTAACTCCTAGTCCTATGTCACCTGGCTAATATCTCCCTATGTGTGTATGCCTGCGTGTGTGCTGGAGATGTATTGTGTTCTGTTTGTAGTGGGACCGTGCTTCCAACGGCATCATTTATAGTGCCACCTCTCTTGAATGCTAAAGCACAGATACCGCATCATCCACCCACGACCATTTTATACTCCACCTGGGTTGTTGGAGTTGTGTGGGCAGGAGAAAAACACTTTTTCTGAATATCCATGCGTACGACCATTTCCAATTATCAAACTCCATAATCAATATAATCGGTTCATTAGTGAAATCAAAGTGTTAAATACAATGTAAAGTATGTATTGAAAGTCATATATTCTTAGGATTTTTACTATATGATTCACAAAACTGCATAAAAGTTGCTTGAAATCCATTCATTATTAAAGAACAAAACCCTATGTATAGCTTACAACTCTTGTCTATTCATGTAATAGTAGCGTGCTCATTTTTTCTGGTGTTCAGTCCCTTAAAATTATAAGCTGATTGTGCAACCAATCATCGATCAGTTTACTACTTCCGATTACAAACCGGTGATTGATTATGATTGTAAACCGATTGCCCATCACTTCTTAATTATCACTGCAGTAAAACAATTCTTACTAAAAAATTTCATCATACATCTATGCACAAATAAAAAATGTACATTACCTGAAACATTTTTTTTTTAATACTGATTGATTGATTGATGGGGCTTTACATCTTTTTTCTTTTTAATACCTAGCCTAGGACACAATATTTCTTTTGACATAAAATTTTTAAACTAGGAAATTCTGTAAGACATGAATCGCCCCTTGCCTCTGATGTCAGTAAACTGATGAAAATGGATCAGCTGGCAAAATAACAATGATTTAATAGCAACAGTGACCTTTGCCCTGATCTTTGGAACGTAAAATACAAACTCATCCAAGGCTCTCTTATAATTGACCTCTGTATACAATTTGATATAAATCTATTTAAAAATGAACTCTGCAGAGCTGTGACAATGTATCACAACAGGATGGGACAGACATGGGTATCATGCCCCAAATTTTGAGAATAACAGCTCTCTATGAACGTAACACTTTACTTACTGAATTACTCGTGACAGATGTACGACTATACTTCTCCAGGAAGTTCACCATAGGAGAGGGTGGTTCAGTGGCGGAAGGTGGCTGAGGGGGTAGCATCAGATTATCAAATTGAAATAATCATCAATATTCATGACAAACAAAAAACAAACAAAATATGTATACTTTAAAACATCAGTGCATTCAATGTTTTCCAAGATTTTGCTTTCAAACTTCTGATTTATGAATGTCCTTCCTTTAAATATCAGTAACTTCAGGAACAAAGTTGAATGCCTCTGAAAGTACAGTAAGGCTTTTGGACCTCATTACCATTTCATTGTGATCAGCAATTATTATAAATATTTTACAAAGTATGTACATTTATCTGTGTACAAACATGAAAAAGTACACATATTTCAAAACTAGTAAAGGAAACGCTTCTTGTACTACAGGAAGTCCTGGTATACTGGAGATAAAAGTCTTGTACTACAGGAAGTCCTGGTATACTGGAGATAAACGTCGAGTGACAAGGAGGACATGAGGAAAGGGCTATACTTACTGGTGTGTCGTCCAAAAATATCAAGAGTATATTATTCACCATATCCTGTAAATAAAGAAAACATTAAGTACAAAACATTGTAATAGCCTTCTCTACACCCTCACATTAAATATATGGAGTAACAGTAGTGGATTTTTATAAACTATGTGTTTATAACAGTTAAAGTATGTCTTAATACAGAACGACCAAATGACTTGGCTATACAATGTAATACAAAAATCTTCATCTCAAACACAACTGGGTGTGGAATTTACATGACCTTAGAACTGACAGAAAAGTGAGAAAACGTCACAGAAAGTTAGGTGAGAGTGTCCTTATCGTACAGATACGAAAATGTTAAATTGCCAGAAAAATAATGGAACAGACCTTGTGTTAGAGTTATCTAAAAGTTATAGAAATAATATTTTTTTCTATTTATCATATTCTTTTGTCAAAGGGGATAAAAAAAATGTCGTTTTCTCTCGGAAAAATTATCTAGTGGTTTCACTGGTTGTTTTGACATCAGGAACAGAGACCCTGGTGTTATCAGACTTACAGGAACAGAGACCCTGGTGTTATCAGTCTTACTGGAACTGAGACCCTGGTGTTATCAAACTTACAGGAACAGAGACCCTGGTGTTATCAGTCTTACTGGAACAGAGACCCTGGTGTTATCAGACTTACTGGAACAGAGACCCTGGTGTTATCAGACTTACTGGAACATAGACCCTGGTGTTATCAGACTTACAGGATTGACATCAGGAACAGAGACTCTGGTGTTATCAGACTTACAGGATTGACATCAGGAACAGAGACCCTGGTGTAAACAGACTTACAGGATTGACAACAGGAACAAAGACCTTGGTGTTATCAGACTTACAGGATTGACATCAGGAACAGAGACCCTGGTGTTATCAGAGTTACAGGATTGACATCAGGAACAGAGACCTTGGTGTTATCAGACTTACAGGATTGACATCAGGTACAGAGACTCTGGTGTTATCAGACTTACAGGATTGACATCAGGAACAGAGACTGGTGTTTTCAGACTTACAGTATTGACATCAGGAACAGAGACCCTAGTGTTATCAGAGTTACAGGATTGACATCAGGAACAGAGACCCTGGTGTTATCAGACTTACAGGATTAACATCAGGAACAGAGACCCTGGTGTTATCAGACTTACAGGATCAGGAACAGAGACTCTGGTGTTATCAGACTTACAGCATTGACATCAGGAACAGAGACTCTGGTGTTATCAGACTTACAGGATCAGGAACAGAGACCCTGGTGTTATCAGACTTACAGGATTAGCTATTGCATCCAGTGCTGGCAGTAGGATAGATCCAGACAATATTTCCCTGGCCAAGGAACACGTACATCTATGAAAAGTAGAAAAAAACACCAGATCATTTAATCTGATAATCTGAATAAAGAATATGCTCTTACATTAAAATTTCAAGATTTCTTTCATTGTGATTTGTTTCTATTCAATATTCATGAGTTTCAACTTGGAATTTTTAGCATTGGTTACAGTTGAAATAGGTTTAAATGACCATCTCAACATGAGGATCTGATCCTGTCCATGGGATAGTTGATGATAGGGTTCAACATCTCTCTTAGCATATCAAACTCAAACAGCTGACCTAGCCAGGCCTAAAGATTCAAGTCAGAGGAATGGGATTATGACCTCCACTGCAAAATTGTGTGTAGAAACTTACTTGTACTTAAGAACATGGAAATTTTAGGATGAATGGCAATATGGCCTTCACCAATGTGTGTGTTAGGACTTACTGGGGCTTAAGACCTTAGGGATACAAACTGAATGGCAATATGGCCTTCACCAATGTGTGTTAAGACTTACTTGGACTTAAGACCTTAGGGATACAAACTGAATGGCAATATGGCCTTCACCAATGTGTGTTAGGACTAACTTGGACTTAATACCTGCGTGATACAAACTGAATGGCAATATGGCCTTCACCAATGTGTGTTAGGACTTACTTGGACTTCAGACCTTCGGGATACAAACTGAAAGGCAATATGGTCTTCACCAATGTGTGTTAGGACTAACTTGGACTTGAGACCTTTGGGATACAAAGTGTTAGGACTTACTTGGACTTAAGACCTTGGGGATTCAAAATGAATGGGAATATGGCTTCGACCATTCTCCTGAGATATTCCAGCTCTGCCTTACGGCTCTGCATGGCACAGTGAAGATGGGGTCCTAGGTAGTCCAAGGTCAACTGCTGAAGGTCAGTACCTGGAGGTGCTGTAAAGAAAACCAATGACATTCTTACAGATGTATTGACCTATCATATTAAACATATTGTATTTCAAGTGAATTGCACTTTTGGGTATTAACATTTTTTTCTTCTTTTCTTTCTTCAATTGTAATCACAAAAATTGTAATTATAAAAGAGGATATGTTGTGTCTACTTGGTACTCTACAGTGCTTGAAAATCCATGGTTATTCATAACCAGTTTTTTTTAATTTTAGCTCAACATTCCTTCATATCATCAGAGTACAAATTACACCTCTTTACATCCAATGGTGTATTCAATACATTTATTGACTGCCCAGTCAAAACTCTGTCTTGTGTCTCTTTTTGGTACATGATACACACAGGTTAATGTCATTATGGTCTAACCCTACATCCAGTAACCAGTGAGTACCTGATTTCTTGGCCTGGAGATAAACGTGGAGGTGCTGGAGGCCGGCCTTTACAAGTTTTTCACTCACTAACTGTGGAATATCAATCTGAAAACACACAATCAGTCACAATATAAAATTATATAAAGCAAAACATACAACAAAATCAACTGGACCTAAAAACTACTACAGATTTTTTCTAGTTTTATGGACGATATATCCTGATTTGGAACTTGGGTCTATTTCCTAAAACAGCCCGATAAACCATGTTAGTGGCAATGTGGGCTTGGCTCCAGCTCTGGTGTCTTTAGATGAAGATATACGAGTTTCACACCTCTGGTATCTTTAGCTTGGGTACCCTATATAAAGGTGTAACATGGTATGCTGAGAAACGGATGTTGCAGTTGAGCTTTTGCCCTCAGTGATGAAAACAAATAAATCACAAAAACGACTATCCATAAATTACTAACATCATATGACCACTGTGAAGGGTGAAGTTAACAATAGTAAATATGAGCTTTACCGATGAAGTGGAATATTTCAATGGGTGTCCCGGTGTACAATGGGTGTCCCGATGTACAATGGGTGTCCCGTTGTACAATGGGTGTCCCGATGTACAATGGGTGTCCCGGTGTACAATGGGTGTCCCGGTGTACAATGGGTGTCCCGGTGTACAATGGGTGTCCCGGTGTACAATGGGTGTCCCGGTGTACAATTGGTGTCCCGGTGTACAAAATAAAAAGGTTGGTTGACCTGATCCTCCCCATCTTCATTTGTCTGATTGTAGACTGAATGTTATCTTTGTTACTTCACGTGTTTATAACTATATACTTGTGATGTAGATTGTGTCAGGCTATACATTAGGAAGCATCAAAGTAAAATCACCCCAAGTTATATCAAATTGTCCAGATTAATCTGCAAAACTTCATTAACTTGATAAACATTAAATTTTAAGACTGAAATGGATCCTTAATCCATTGAGCCTAGGAAAGAATATCACATTTTCTACACTTTTTTGCAAAAATGTTATCTGTTGGATACCTACTTTTTTAGCTCGCCTTAGGAACACAGATACCAGAAAACGTAAATTTGTTCTCAGTTCATCCACAAAACCTTCATCTGCACTCACATCTCTGTTCAACACAGCAACAATAGATGTTATTAAGAAGAAGTACATTTACAAGCTTTAAACTTAAACAGTATGAAAATTAAAAAGAAAGAGAAAATATACAGAAATTGAGCCAACTTTTACACATCAAATTTCTCATCAAAACAAAACAAATAAACTGAGTTAAACTGTATATTTATATAATTAGTAGAATTATAATAATAAATGGTACTGTCAATAACCTAAAAGATGTGAGAAAATATAATTAATTTGAATGAAATCTTCGAAACCAGGAAATTGAATAAATATCACTATCAATAGTAATATTATATTAGGTTTTTTCAAACCTGTTAAAATTTTATTTAAGTTTTATTATCTAACTACATCAAAATTTCTGGTAAACAGTAACAATTACATGTATTGTATATCAGTATTAGAATACTGATCACTTACAGGAAGAATGGAGGGGGACAATCTCTACACTGATAAATAGACAGAAGAATGGAGAGGGACAATCTCTACACTGATAAATAGACAGAAGAATGGAGTGGGACAATCTCTACACTGATAAATAGACAGAAGACTGGAGCGTGACAATCTCTACACGGATAAATAGACAGAAGAATGGAGCAGGACAATGTCTACACTGATAAATAGACAGAAGAATGGAGCGGGACAATCTCCACACAGATAAATAGACAGAAGAATGGAGCGGGACAATCTCTACACAGATAAATAGACAGAAGAATGGAGCAGGACAATCTCTACACTGATAAATAGACAGAAGACTGGAGCGGGACAATCTCTACACGGATAAATAGACAGAAGAATGGAGCGGGACAATCTCTACACTGATAAATAGACAGAAGAATGGAGCGGGACAATCTCTACACTGATAAATAGACAGAAGAATGGAGCGGGACAATCTCTACACTGATAAATAGACAGAAGAATGGAGCGGGACAATCTCTACACTGATAAATAGACAGAAGAATGGAGCGGGACAATCTCTACACTGATAAATAGACAGAAGAATGGAGCGGGACAATCTCTACACTGATAAATAGACAGAAGAATGGAGCGGGACAATCTCTACACTGATAAATAGACAGAAGAATGGAGCGGGACAATCTCTACACTGATAAATAGACAGAAGAATGGAGCGGGACAATCTCTACACTGATAAATAGACAGAAGAATGGAGCGGGACAATCTCTACACTGATAAATAGACAGAAGAATGGAGCGGGACAATCTCTACACTGATAAATAGACAGAAGAATGGAGCGGGACAATCTCTACACTGATAAATAGACAGAAGAATGGAGCGGGACAATCTCTACACTGATAAATAGACAGAAGAATGGAGCGGGACAATCTCTACACTGATAAATAGACAGAAGAATGGAGCGGGACAATCTCTACACTGATAAATAGACAGAAGAATGGAGCGGGACAATCTCTACACTGATAAATAGACAGAAGAATGGAGCGGGACAATCTCTACACTGATAAATAGACAGAAGAATGGAGAGGGACAATCTCTACACTGATAAATAGACAGAAGAATGGAGCGGGACAATCTCTACACTGATAAATAGACAGAAGAATGGAGCGGGACCATCTCCACACTGATAAATAGACAGAAGAATGGAGCGGGACAATCTCCACACAGATAAATAGACAGAAGACTGGAGCGGGACAATCTCTACACTGATAAATAGACAGAAGAATGGAGCGGAACCATCTCCACACTGATAAATAGACAGAAGAATAGAGCGGGACAATCTCTACACTGATAAATAGATAGAAGAATGGCGCAGGACAATCTCCACACAGATGAATAGATAGAAAGACTTTTCAATAAAAATCATACATACCTGTACCATGTATACACATATTCTTTTAAAACTATCGACAGGAACTGTAAACAAAAGGTAAACAATTCAATAATTAATCACTGATAGGTGTAAAAATGACAGGTGTAGTAAAGTCTGGCTTTTATTTTTATTTTAAGGCTGGGAGGAATATGATCGTTCTCCACTTTGGTGGCAAAACAGGAAACCTCATCCCTCATAAGGTTCCAAATGTCAAGCCCTCAGTACAGCATCAGGTTGGACATTTGAAGAATCTTATCCTGTGGGTTGGGTTGTTTCTGTCTTGCCCCCCCCCCCCCCCCCCCCCCCTACATATGAAAAGATTCTATTAATCTTCAATCATAACACACAAGGACACTGGCTGAAGCTGGATGTGTGAGTGTGTATTGGATATTTAATATGTAATTTAAATTCCACTACCAACATATTTCACCTCCAAGCATATTCCTTTTCCTTTTCCAATATCTCTCTTCTTCTCCACCTCCTGCTCCTAAACTTACCTCTTCCACAGCTTCGTCCACCTTCCCTCGTAACTCGAGATTGGTCCACGGTTGGAAAGCGAGAATGTTAAGTTCTGGTCTATAGAAATTACAAATATAAAGATGTTGTGATTGTACATATTTGTTTCTTTTTCTTGGTAGGTAAATAACATATACAGTTCGATGACAATGCCATCTCCTTTTTAAATGTTGACCTACACATTTTGTAGGTAAAGTGAAAGGGTCTATAAAAACTGGATGCAACATTTGGAGAGAAAAAAAATGTTTGCCAATTTTTTTTCACATAAAAAAATGAATTTTCATTAAATTTTATTCAATATCAAACAGATAATTTTATAAATTTCACATATGATGCATTATATCAATATTTGCAATATACAAGGTAGTACTCCTCATAACGCGCACCATAGAATATGTCTGTTGCCAACTACGTTCATACTATCATATTTGCTGTCAAAATGAAGGTCAATCCATATATGGCCCTGTGTCCATGTTGTTCTCTTACCTATGTCTCGGACACTTCCTCTGACCACACACAGTACACATAGTTTTCATTAACGTGAGTTCATCATCTCCTATGTTACCCTCCTGTAAACAGGCAATGTTTATACAGTCTATACAGTCTACATGATATTTATAGATATTAATCACTGGATTATTGTAACTGGAACAACCATGTTGTGTTAATCATGAAAATGGGTTGATCCACCTAAATTCTTGTAATAAAAAAAAATGTCTTTAAAGTGGTAATTTCCCAAAACAATCTCTCTACTGCTCTTTCTTTTATTTGACATACACAAACTATAAGCATTAAACACTAAAATTGATGGAGAGTATATAGCTAGATTCAAAAAGGATTACTTCAAAATTAACAATATCTATATAATTATCTTAAGACCCTGTTAAGAAACCCAACACAAGTTTCCATTGACACATGAAGTTGAATCTGCACCTACTAACACACCAGCTTTCAAAAACTTAGACACTCCTACTTGCTACATGTATAAACATGTGTAAATCAAGCACATTGATGATTTACATTGTATATTCATATGGACAGAGTTCACATTCATTAAATGAGTACCAAGAAATCCAGCAAAATGAATTGTGTACAGCTTTTTGAATAAATCTAGGTACTGGTACATTGAAATAAGAGGTACATCAGTGATTTTTTTGCTCAATTTTACTGCCTAATACAGGCTGTTTCCCCTAGCTTAAAAGTGTGTTACTGACCCAAAATGAACAAAACTGAGAATATCCCCAAATTGAATACAAATAATGCTTTATTTTCCCAATTCATAAAGGAACAGGCTGTTGTAAAATTTAGCTAACAAAAACACTGTACATATTAAAAATATTCTAAAAAGTGAGTAACATTCCCTTATATCATTTCACTGTACAAGAATTACAAAATAATATTCTAATATCCTTATGACATTCTCTTTTTCTTTTAGTAAAGTTTTCTTACTTTTTTGTTTCTCTTGAACATGAACAGAAGATTTGGTAAAGTTGAGTCGGAGCTGCAAATAAACAAGTGTCAATTAACAATAGTTCACTGTTAAAATATCTGTAAAATAAAGTGTATACACTTTAATTTTGTATATTTTAAACTGCAGTTAGTCACATATATTAATATGGGCAATCTTTATAAGGCAGTCTGTACTTAATATATATTGTCAACAAGCAAATGCTAAAAGTTAAAGACTAGGCACTGATTCATGTAGACCAGACAAAATTGTAGAATGTTATACAACACTTCACCAAATTACTACTTTAAAACCAATTAATTGCACATAAAATACAGATAATTACCTGATGAAGCTGTACGCCCCAGCTATACCTAACAAGAAAGACCATACTACCAGGAATAGCTGTAGATAACTGAAACAAACATAAAACTTTGTAAATATGAAATCTTCATATTGTGATTGAAGCATATATCAGCTGATTAATGACTAATTTTATCTTATTTATATTATTGACTTCATCAACTTTGCTATGCACCATATACATTTTAATAGTTCATTTACAAGTTCATTATATTCAAATTTCTTAAAAAAAAGTTCTGCTTTTTAAATGGGGATTCTACATATAACGTATCAGGGTGTTGTAATTTAGGGTAACTATAACATCTTTCAGGGGACTTGTTGAAGCAGAACCTTAACATTTGAGTGTGAGTTGATATAAATAATCACTTTAGATAATACATGTAGGATGTAAATCAAACATTACATTTTGTACTGGATTCAGTGGTGTTGTTGCATTGCTCATCATTTCTTTTTTCATTTACTTTAGATAATAGTCTGATATGGATATAGAGGCTAACATTAAAGGCCTCTGTAAATTATGTATCATATTAAATCATTTCAAATATTAACACGTTATTAATTTCTAACTTTAAAAACATATATACAGTATATTAGCGTGGAAGATCTGCATTTAGGGTAATACAACCTGCAAAAGGTTCGAAACGTATAGGATTAAAATTTGATTCCCAAACAAGTGCCCCCCCCCCCCACCCCCCACACACACACACTCACCTGCAAACTATAAACTATATTGAACAAATGCAGATCTAGAAACACATAGTTATAGATTAAATTTCAGATTATCCCTGATCACAAGATCTCCAAATATCAGTTTGAGTAAATGAATCAATTATTTCCATAATTCACAAACCGCTTGGTAGAATCATATCCAATGATTATCTCGGTAAATGTTTTTTAATTTTGTCAATATGATCAATTACCTATAAAAGCATACTGTGAACAGCAGTAACACTGCTAAACAAGAGCAAAATTTGGAGTGTTTATGCAGATAGTACTTGACAATGTACCAGGGAATCATCTCGAAATCGTGAATGACTACTTCAAAATGTGAATCGCCATCCACAATTCAGCAAATACTACATTATTTCATGAAAATAGTAATATAATGGTATCCGAGAGGAGGTAAACAGGAAGTGACAGGCTTTGACGGACTCTTTTGAACGTTTGACACAGATTTTAGGTGTCAGGAGAATTTCATCCCTAAAATTTGGTTCAACACAACTGATGTTTAAATCAAATAGATAATATATATATAAACTATAAAACTGAATTGCTCGAAATAACACACTAGCCCTCCACCACTGGGTCGCCGGCTCTCGAGGCCTACGTAGGACAGTCGCTATGCAGAAAAGTCAATGCCAGGAAACAAAAACTTAGTGAGGATTTTCAAGTAAATACCACTAACGTTATATCATTGGGTTACTTCCCCTCCAATGTTTGTTAGTTTCGTGTCTTACTTTTAACGAATTCCAATCTGATACTGCGAACATCAGAATACATGTCATTTGATATTGTAAATATGTTATATGTTAATTGCATTTATAGGACAGTATGTAAGTTTTACTGAAATGGATACGAGCCTCATTGAAGCTAGTGAAAAGGACATTAATTTTTTCACTTAATCATCGTGAAAATATATATAAAAAAAAGATAGATATCTGATGCATATTTATCTTTTCCAGTTTTTTTTCTATTTCCTACTGGAGATATATAAAACATTTACAAAATCTGTAAGTAAGATAAGTGGGAAACCTTTTCCAAATATTAAATGAAAAATAACTTTAAAAAAAGGGTGAATCAGAAACTTCAAGAGGTTCTTATATAAAAAACAGTTTCGAAACTTTGCATATTTTATTTGTCTTTGTGATATTAGAGATATTTATAATCTAAATTTAAAGCCCATACAACTCTGAATACATTTGTTAAACCAACAAGTCTAACGTTAACAGATTAACATTTCAAAAGTTTTTACTAAGATTCTATTTTTATAAACGATTGCCCAAGATAAACTATTCTTTTGTATATCAAATATCACTGCCTTTATCCCATTTAATAATTATTTTAACATATTTAATGTCAATATAGTTTTGTTTGACTAGCCTATCACCTCTGTTTTTGCGCGAAATTCGATTTCCAGACAAATCCAATCAAATCGATCTATTTTAATCACGTGATTGTAAACTATATTCCAATATGGAGGTCAACATATATTGTGTTTGGATATTGAAACCATGAATATTAACTGTTCCACGTGAAATGCGGCATGATATGAACAATGAAGGTTTGTATATATAAATAATACTTGTTTTTAAAGATGTTATTACACATAGTCTTTTTCAAGCCAATGGCATACTTTTTATGGGACCCTCAAGCGTATCCGATCGTGTTGACCCGGTCCCTCCAATGCTTCATGCTTGTTCATTATGAAGAAGTAAGCGACATCTACTAAGTAAATTTAAGTGCGTGAAAACTTCGCGTCTGGCGGTAATATAAACTTTCGTAATGATTATAGGACTTCAATTCATGCTACGATATGAGGAATTAATGTAGAGAAAGGTCTACGAAGGGAAATCAGTGCATACATTTCGGTGTGTATTGGGGAAATACATAGGGGCTCGCCACGGGGATAGGAGGGAATGTGATTGGAATGCGGACGTACTGACCTAAACAAAACAAACTATTGGTGTTCTTTAGACCTGTTTTCTATTGCCTTAGTGTTTGTAATGTTTAACAATCTCGATACACTTTACTATTGGGACTTTCGCTGTCTAAATATAGTAAAAACACTGTTATATACTCGGTGTTGAGTACCGGTCCATACTAGTACACATCAAGCTTGGGTCATGCTTGTTCCTAAAATGCTTTGTGCCATCCTTTTCCCTGGAATTTTAACGTGTTCCTTTTTAAACTGAATACAATTATAATGAAAACACAATATCATAACTACTTACAATAACATGATAAAGTCTAACATTCTAATCATAGTCCTGGTCTTTGCAAGTAAACTGTGTTTTTACTAATACTAATGTTATATGCAATTAGGAAATACATCAAATATATATCGAGATTGACACATAATGCACTGTTCAGGGGAAATTTTGGGAGCTAAAAGGAGATAAGACCATTATCATAGATAATAAACCTATTACAGGAGTTAAACATTGAAACTGTTTAAATAGTCAAATATATATGCTGTTTTTTGCTCCATGCTTTTTGAGATAGCAATTGATATTAGTTATATTAATGAAAACACTAGATTATCGTCCATTTTTGCAATGATAGTCCAATACCAGAAGTTGGTCCTGGTAATGAAGTCTGAACACAAGATCTATGGATTCCAGCTATGGAAAATGGATTTGTTCTTTGAATTATTGCCAATATCAATAATTTGTATGATATATTATTAATGACAAAAGATATATAACAGACCTTTCATACATACACCCATATATGTAAGCACATGTAACTTTGGTATACCAAAAAAATAATGAAGTAAGTGTCCACATCTTAATTCTAATTGTTGGGTAAAATGCCTTTTTTGCCATGTACATAGCAGAAAAGCAATATATGTTGTTTTTTAACTTGAAATCGCCCTTACGTTAATTCACCAAATTTGAGCAATAACCATCATATTTTGACAGAACCTGGTCAAGTAGACGGACAAAGATATATGAAAAATGTTGATCCACGTTAAAGTGCTATCTGACTGTATGGTCATGGCATGTAACCATATGACACTCCCAACCAGTCTTCTGACTGCTAACTAGAGGTGCTTGGAGAGACACCTGCGAAAACAAAATATACTGATAAATAGGAAAGAAAAGATAGTGATCCCAAGTGCAAAAGTTGATTAAGATATTTCTTGTATTTATTAGGGCAGAAATGATATATCGTGCGATGATATATTGCAATATTTTGAATATGGTACGATACACAATATTTCGGAGGTCACAATACACCTACGATATTTTCCAGATTTTGTCGTTTATGAAATTAGTCTACTCAAATCCGTTTCAACATGGCGAGTGACACCTCCAGCTTAGCATACACGTAAAAATATGTGAATTGTATGACACTTTAAAGTTAAGCCCATTTTGGACCAAATCTTTTTCCTGCAGTTGTAATATTGCCATTGGAAGTTTTTGTTCAGTTTACTGCCGAATACAGACTGTTTCGCTAAAAAGAGCCTTATTTTCCCAAAATTACCAAAAACTGAAGATTATATCCCCAATTTCAATATAAATAATGCTTTATTTTCCCAATTCATAAAGGAATTATACAGTTTGTTCTAAGATTTAGGTAACAGTCGGGGAACATCCTGGAATTTGAGAGCAAATCCCTGTAACAAAAAAAAAACTGCTTCTACAGTTACTATAATGTATCAAGATACTTCTACAGTTACTATAATGTATCACGATACTTCTACAGTTACTATAATGTATCGTGATACTTCTACAGTTACTATAATGTATCGTGATACTTCTACAGTTACTATAATGGATCATGATACTTCTACAGTTACTATAATGTATCAGGATACTTCTACAGTTACTATAATGTATCGTGATACTTCTACAGTTACTATAATGTATCGTGATACTTCTACAGTTACTATAATGGATCATGATACTTCTACAGTTACTATAATGTATCATGATACTTCTACAGTTACTATAATGTATCATGATACTTCTTGTATCATGACCACAATATTGTAATATATATATATATGGTATCGCCATGCCTATATATTGCTGCCGCCCTAGTATATATCTTCAAAAACTAAATTGCATTGCTTCAAAAATTAAATGAATAAACAATTAATTGCCCTAAATTCATACTATATACATGTAGAAAAGCTAATTAAAGTCGGATCTAAATAATCATTTAACCAATTTTTACCCCCAAGTTGAATGTTTTTTGAAAAATGAAAATAATACTGTTTTAGTCATGTTTTATTTTAAAGATAAATTCATTTGCTTTTATGGAAATTAATGGCATGCTTTGCATGGCATATATTTTGAATTATATTAAGATATATCACTCTGGAATATTCTGTTTGGTAAGCAGTGATGTAATGATCAACTTATTCATATCAAATGGCCTATGCAACTCATTTTCAATTATAATAAATTGAATATATATGACTACAATACAGATTTTAAAATAAACAACAGAACAAAAACGAAAAAACACATTTGGTAAATGATGATGTGTCCTATGCTTATGTTTTAATCTTCCCTTTATTGAGATCTATAAACAGAGTATTAGTAATAAGTTTTCAGTCTTGATGGATCAAACCCAGGGTTCATTTTATTATTGTATGGTAAATGCTTTTGTGCCGGTAGCATTTAAGTGATGGGTTATAATATAATTGTATACCTGTTTGAAATATCGGTGTAACATTGCTTTGTGCACTGTAGTTATAAGTAATGCATAACTCACAGGTATTGTCTGTATCTTAAAACCACCTAGAGAAATTTATTTACATTTTGCAACCATTTCAAGGAAGAGATTTAAAAAATGAAATAACGACGATGAAAAAACAAAACTTTGTGTAGATCAGATAGCAAAGAATTAGCGGTTATGATAAGTTCCCAACGGACCTGCCATTTTTACTATTGATCACAGTTATAGATCTCTGCGGTTTAAAAAGCCGAAGTGGATCCCACAGGTAAGGAAATACAAAGACCTGTGTTAGTTATCCTTTAAAGGGAAACAATGGTAGACTGGTAGGAATCATACTGGAACGGTGAGTAAGATGAGTATCGTGCCATCAAGTACTTATTTACTCCTGTCTGCGCTAAAGTACTCCATGACACTGCTCTAGCTTATATAGGGAGGTTCCTTGTCCATCTGTCTGTATTGCCAGTACACATGTCTTGGAAATGGTGCACATGTAAATCATATGTACATGTATGTATCTAATCAAGGGAATGATGGACAATTTTTTGTGAACCTGTACACTTAACTTTACAACATACTTTGATAAAACAAACTCTTAGAGTCTGAAAATATATGCTAAATTACACAGGTTTCATATTAATTGGTTATAGAACTTAACAGTTTGACATCTTCAACAATTTAACCTGTTTTTGTGGTGTACAGGTTTTTGTCTTATACAGTGGTTTAGATACAAAAGGAGCTTTGT